CAACCACAAAGTGCTCTTAACTTGCCTTATCATTTTTATAGTCTCTTTCCTTACAAGACATGGCATATATGCCTAGATTACAAAAATAAGTCAACCTCAGTGACACTCCAGTCTTACAGAAGCTCTTACAGATACCTCAATGTGGGGTACAGTAGCTTGGTGTAAAATATCTTTAGCATCTTTGTCTTATTTGTACTACTGCTATACATATTTTCTGCGTTCCAAAAAAGTATGTCTTCCTGATTGCCATGTCAGTTCTTGCTTCTGATTTATCTCTACCTACTCTCCTCCTTTGATTTCCTTACCATTATCATTCTGGGTATTAAAATATCCACCTTTTAGACCCTAGTTTAAATCACATATTATTAATGATTATATACTATGGCGAAAATAAATTTTAAAAGAGAAATAAAGAGCATGGTTTTTAGAAACATTGAGACTTGAATTAAATTCTAGTTCTAACACTTTTCATGCTATGTGATTACTGGCAAATTCCTTAAAATTGTGACATTGCTCTGTGGGGAAAAAATTCTTTATCTTCCAAATAAAGATAATATGTACCTTGAATTTAAGAATTAAAAAGGTGGTTATATAGCACTATTTGACTGACATAAATGTGAAGATGCGCAAGTGATGCTGGGTTTCAACTATTTTGAATGTAAGATATTATTGTTAAAAATGTAGGATGAAATTTAAACTTTTAAAGCATGATTGTGATCCTGGGAAAGAAGAATTCATCTAGACAGAAAAAGGGTAGATATTTTCCATCATCTTCATCGCGATGATTCATTTGTAAACAAACTGTCAGGTAATCAAACTCTGTATTTTTACCCCCAGAAATCCCTTACTACATGGTAGTAATTTCTGAAGTTTTGAGGGCCATTTCATTCCTGAAAACCTCTTCCTCCTGCCCTCTAACATGAATGGCACCTTGTACATTTATGCTAAGATCTAAATTCCAAGTAAAATCATGGCAAAAAGCTGAAACGGCTAGGCGGTGGTGCTTAATTTGACTTGTAAAAGTGATGAAATTCTATTGATTTTAGATTTTGACAAGTTTCTTCTAGAAAAGGACTACTAAATACATATTCCTAAGGTTTACTTACATACACTAAGTTTTGTTTTGTTAAAGCATACAAACAGAACCAGATAGAACAGTTTCAATCAGGATTATAAGACACTGGAAATTTGCTAAACCATTATGCCTATGCACTGACCCTCCAGCCAATGACCTTAGAAGCTGGACAAAGTAAAAAGACTGAGTCAAATCCATGCCCCTACTTAACCATGTACTGCCAAATATTGACCACAAATTGACTTCTTTCAGTTAAATGACTAAATTTAAAAATAAATACCTACAAAAATGTTGGACATCATAAAATTATGCTCAGATTCTAAAGGATAATCTAGCTTTAAAAACCCTTAGGAAGCAAAAGAAATCTTGACATCAGGTTAGCTTCTCAAAATCTCCTTAAGCTGATATGCAACTTCAGCAAAGTCTCAGGATACAAAATCAATGTGCAAAAACTACAACCATTCCTATAAACAAGTAACAGACAAACAGAGAGTCAAATCATGAGTGAACCCCCATTCACAATTGCTACAAAGAGAATTAAATACCTAGGAATACAACTAACAAGGGATGTGAAGGACCTCTTCAAGGAGAACTACAAACCACTGCTCAAGGAAATAAGAGAGGACACAAACAGATGGAAAAACATCCCATGCTCATGGTTAGGAAGAATCAATATTATGAAAATGGCCATACTGTCCAAAATAATTTGTAGAGTCAATGCTATCCCTATCAAGTTACCATTGACTTTTAATCACAGAACTGGAAAAAACCACCTTAAAATTCATATGGAACCAAAAAAGAGCCCACATAGCCAAGACAATCCTAAGGAAAAGAAAAAATAAAACAAAACAAAACAAAGCTGGAGGCATCATGCTACCTGACTTCAAATGAGGCTACAGTAATCAAAACAGCATGGTACTGGTATCAAAACACAGATATAGACCAAAGGAACAGAACAGAGGCCTCAGAAATAACGCCACACATCTACAAACATCTGATCTTTGACAAACTTGACAAAAACAAGCAATAGGGGAATGATTCCCTATAAATAAATGGTATTGGGAAAACTAGCTAGCCATATGCGAAAACTGAAACTGGATCCCTCCCTTACTCCTTATACAAAAATTAACTCCACGTGGATTAAAGATTTAAACATAAGACCTAACACCATAAAAACCGTAGAAGAAAACCTAGGCAATATCATTCAGGACATAGGCATGGACAAGGACTTCATAACTTAAATACCAAAAGCAATGGCAATAAAAGCCTAAACAGACAAATGGGATCTAATTAAACTAAAGAGCTTCTGCATAGCACTAGAAACTATCATCAGAGTGAACAGGCAACCTACAGAATTAGAGAAAATGTTTGTAATCTGCTCATTTGACAAAAGGCTACTATCCAGAATCTACAAAGAACTTAAACCAATTTACAAGAACAAACTACCCCATCAAAAAGTGGGCAAAGGATATGAACAAGACACTTCTCAAAAGAAAACATTTATACAGCCAACAAATATATGAAAAAAAGCTCATCATCACTGGTCATTAGAGAAACGTAAATCAAAACCACAGTAAGATACCATCTCATGCGGTTAGAATGGTGACCATTAAAAAAATCAGGAGACAACAGATGCTGGAGAGGATGTGGAGAAATAGTAATGCTTTTACACTATTGGTAGGAGTATAAATTAGTTAACCATTGTGGAAGACAGTATAAGGATTCCTCAATGATATATATCTGGAAATACCATTTGACCCAGCGATCCCATTACTGGGAATATACCCAAAGGAGTATAAATCATTCTGTTATAAGGACACATGTACAGGTATGTTTACTGTGGCACTGTTCACAATAGCAAAGACTTGGAACCAACCCAAATGCCTATCAATGATAGACTAGATAAAGAAAATGTGGCACATATATACCATGGAATACTATACAGCCATAAAAAAGGATGAGTTCACATCCTTTGCAGGGACTTGGATGAAGCTGGAAACCATCATTCTCAGCAAACTGACACAAGAACAGAAAACCAAACACTGCATGTTCTCACTCATAAGTAGGTGGTGAACAATGAGAACACATGAACACAGGGAGGGGGACATCATATACTGGGGCCTGTTGGGGGGTTGGGGCTAGTGGAGGGATAGCAAGGGGGTGGGGGGCTATGGGAGGGATAGCTTTAGGAGAAATACCTAATGTAGATGACAGGGTGATGGATGCAGCAAACCACCATGGCACGTGTGTACCTATGTATCAAACCTGCACATTCTACACATGTACCACAGAACTTAAAGAATAAAAAATTAAAAAATAAAAAACTAAAACACATACATGTGCAAACACACACACACATACACACACACACGATAAGCAAAATCTCATCATTAAGAGAGCTGAAGGCATCCATATTGCCCAGTTTATCCAAGTTCAGTAATTTGATTATACTACAGGCCTCTAGTGGTTTTGAATTTGTCATAAAGCTTGGATTTTCTCAACTTTATATAAAAAGAGTGCTCTTATTGCTGGTATTTGGCAATTTTCTATATTTTGATCCCTCTGAAAATTTATCCCAACTACTCTCTCTCTTCCAGAATTTCCTAAGAGACCCTTTCTTACTTTCTATTATTTATATAAAAGTATTATTTCTATAATTTCAGTTAACTTCTAGTGCAGAAATAGTAAGAAAAAAAATGGGCTCAGTTTACAATCTTGATCCAGCTCCTCTCTCATATGTTAATTTTATATGCAGGAAAACAATAAATGTTACTCTTAAAATATTGAAATGATTAAAAATAAATTAAAAAGGTAGTCTTCGCATATATAAAAAACAGTTAAGTAGAGCACCTCACTTCTCAGTGATGATCAATACAGCAAGGCATTTCTGTGACATGAAAACACAAGTTGTAGAAAATTCCTTTTGAGACTCATATTGGAAATTATTTAATTTTTTACAATCTGTTTTTCTCCTACTCTATGCTACTCTGAAAAGGACACTGTGGGTTTTTTTAAAAAAATATTTCTAATAACATAGTAAATGTGTGTGACTCTCTTCCCTAGGTATTAGGGTCAACCTTTAATTTAAATATCAAGTATTTATTGTGCCACAATTGAAGAGACAGTAAGTAGCAAAATATCAGTTCTCATACAGTATTTTAAATCCATTCCAAAGTGAGAAGAACTATAGTGCTAATATTTGCAAAAGCTTTGTCAAATGAGATTAAAGTATAAGCCATTTTAAAGCATTTAATGTGCACTGTAACTAAATATGCCATATCTTTAGAATATGTTGCATCCTCTGCATCCTACTAATAAGAATACATAGCAGGTGTTATTGTTCAGTCCCAGGCATATAAAGACAGCTAGGAATAAACACACACTTACCTGACACTTAAGTCTAGCACATTATCACTAGGTGTTGTAGTTATTTGTGTACATGCGTATACATGTCTATGTATATATACATTATACACATAAAAATATATCCTTGCCTTGTTCACCTTTTATTAAAATAACTAAACCATAATATGACAAATATTGTCTCTCTGTACTGAACTCCATTCCTACCCACTGTTCTGTGTTCTGTGTTGAAGGCATTGAAAAACTAAAAATGGCATTCTTTGGCCTCCTTTTCCAGTTGGATTCTGATTAGTTCCCATCAGCAGAAGTAGCTGATAAAGGATGGAAAAGCTGAGGTTCAAAAAGCATTTGTAGGTAGGGTTGATGCATTAATTCTCTTTTCTCTCTTTTGCTTCTCTACTCCTAAAAGAAGGTTGTTAGATGCTTCCTTGACTTTCTTATCTCTGGATCGTACCACCATTTCCTAGTGTTTCCTATAACCCTTTCTAACAACTTTTAGATATATTTCTGTGCCAAATTTTCTGTTCAAAATTCTTAAAGTGGTTTCTGTATGTTTGACCAGATCCTGGCTGTGGATATAATGAAGGCGTGAACTATAATAGTTGAACAAGGAAATCAACTTGAACCAAATTGTGAAGTTCTCTGCAATGAATTATTAAAGGTACAGATTAAGGTTTTCTCAGCTGTGTCGTTCCCACTTGATCTTACTGAAGCACAACTTAACTGCTTTGCTGTAGCTGTCAGTCCCAGAGGCCAAGTGGTAGAGGGGATAGATAGCTTATCCTCGCTCTCACCACCTAATTACACCTCCTCCAACTGATTTCTTGGGCACATAACATCTCAAACATCGCCTTTTGTTACTACCGAATACTGCTTACTTCTACATCCATAACAGATGTGGCCTTTACATGGCCTTCTTATCACCAAAAACCTTGAAGGATATGGACAAAAGTGATACGCCCTTTAAGTTAGTATCTGCTAAAAGCAGGACTGGGTTCAGATGAGATGGCATATTTGTCATGCGCAGCATTGCCTGACTGATCCATTTTGTCACATCACTTCTTCTAGTATGTGTCACATTATGTTAGGTCACACCATCAGAGATAACGGTAAGACATGCTACTGCCAGAACAGCAACACATTGTCTCCGTAGATTCAAAAAGCCCTGGTGCTTATACAGTCACCAGAGACACATGGGCTGGATCGTGTAGTACCAAGTCCTGCAGCCACCAAACAAAACAGGCATCTTATTTTTCCCAAGGGGGAAAAAAAAGAGTCAATAGACTTGAAGAAATCATGAGGTAGTATCCTGGGGAAAACAACCCCGTCAATGTTGAATTGTGAGCTCCAGTGCCTCTTTACATTCAACTCATGTCTCACAGCAATGGTAGTCATTTGGGATAAATTGTGCCTTGATGCTTTGGCACCAGACAGGTTTGCAGGAGCATCTTTATACCTTTCAGAATGATCTTCCATTTAAATAGATAAGATGGTCTGGGTCTTGTCACTTTGATTCATATTTAGAACCAGAACAGATTTCTCTTTCAGTTGCCTGTGGAAGACATATTTCTCCAAATCGATGTCTGGAATTGCTAAATACATTTCAAAGAATAGATTTTTATTCTGACCTTATTTGAATGTCTAGACATTTGTGGATTATTGAATCTAAACGATCTAAAACACTAGGCCCATGTTTCCCCAAACCAAATTTAACCTGTACATTAAGAACACACTCATGAATTGTAAAGTCAGAGCTTCATGGGCAGGCTTGTTGGAGGAGAACTGAGAAGTGGAAACAAACAAAAAAAAATGATCATTTAAAAACCTTCCGACTAGATGAGAAAAATATGGGGCACAGACAATTAGAGAATAATCATTGACCAATTTATTGGTGCTGATATTAGGGCAGAAAGGATACAAAGGACGGAAGGGGAAAATCTAAGAAAGTTAATGTAATTGGAAAGGGTTAATTAAACCTATTCTCAGATACTACACGTTTACATAAAACATGTTTCACATTTACAAGATACTCATCAGTTTTTTTCATTTCAAATTCAAAATATTGTAAACCTGTCATATTCTATTAGTAATTGCTATTAGATGGTAACTTAAAGAACATTTATATTATATGATGGCCCATAGGAAGAGGCTGTAACAGCACACTTAGAAATGGCAAAAGGGATTCCTTCCCCATTTGTTCCCTGCAAGGAGCAAATTGCTATAGGGACAGTTCAGTGGGAGGGGCCTCTTGAAGGTGTGAAAGTCCCAGCCCATCGAATACCTTCACAGATTATTTCCCATTTTTAACAAGTATCTCCCTTATCATGAAAAAAAAATGTGATTTTCCTTCTGGCCCATATTTAACCATCATATTTGTGCATATGATTGCAGCTCTTCTGAAAGGACTTGGAGTGAGCTGCCAGGCTGCAAGGGATTGAATCGAAAACCCCCTAACAGTTAAAGTATCCATTAGCTTCTCTACACTTAGCATCCGTCAGAGAGAAGATGGGCTGGGAGCCCCGGGCGAATTTCTAACTAGCCTAATGAGGAGAGAGATTCTGGGAGCAAAAAAAGTTCATTTGCTGAATTTCCAGCAAGAAGTCACTTCAATATTGCTTCTAGGAAACACTGACAGGCTTTGTTGGTAAGAAATCATTATGCTGAGAGAGAAATGGGATATTGTTATATGAGGTTTTTAAAGAAAATTCATTTTGATAGATGTCTAACTGTGCATTCAATTAAATTTCCTTCTCTTTCTTAAAAATAGATGTCAGGTAATTGTACTCAAGTTCTGTAAGCTGAAAAGTGTTATCCTTTCCTTCCAGTTATTAAAATTTCTTTATCAATATGTGTCTTTCTTGTCTTAATCCTTTGACTATGGGGGGCCCTCCATGGAAATACATGGAGTTCTCCCCTCCTTGCCTGTGGATGTGTGCGTGCCTCCCAGAAGAATTAGTAAAGACTGCTTTTTTTTTTTTTTTTTTTTTTTTTTTTTGGTCAAAACTGACTTCTGTATTTAAATTATGTAAGTGCTATGCTCCCAAAAATTGTTCTTAAAAAATCTATATGCATGACCATTTGCTAGACACAAGTCCTTTTAGTTATACAATCATAAGTCAGCATTATTCACAGTGATGCTTCACTGTTTCTTAACTATGTATCCTGCCATTTGGGAATTATCCTTTTGAAGTTTTTATTTTATTTTATTTTTATTTTTTGAGACGGAGTGTTGCTCTGTCGCCAAAGCTGGAGTGCAATGTCATGATCTTGGCTCACTGCAACCCACACCTCCAGAGTCCAGTGATTCTCCTGCCTCAGCCTCCCGAGTAGCTGAGATTACAGGTGTGCACCACCACACCTGGCTAATTTTTTTGTATTTTTAGTAGAAACAGGGTTTCATTATGTTGGCCAGCCTGGTCTCAAACACTTTTAACAATGACCAACCACCTGCTGCTCAAAGGATTTATCCCTTTCAAGCCACCCTCTTATACCCAGCAGATTCATAATTCTAAAATATAGCTTTGCAAATATATACACACCTGAGTCTAAAACATCAAAACCTCTAGTGGCTATGCATCCCTCATCTGGAACAACCCACTTCTGACTATCCAGTTGCCAGCAATGGTACTGTCATGTTCCTAATCAACCAGACACCTACTCTTGGAGTCATCTTCATTCACCTTCCCATTTCTCCTCTCATTCATCAGAGCCACTCACTCTATTCCAAGTCATATTCATGACAATTGCCATCTAATTAATTCAGACTCAGATATTTTGCCTTGGCTATTTTCATAGCCCATTATTTGCTTGCCTTATTCCAAATAATTTCACAGGTGGATAGCCATATACATTTTGCTAAGATAAACTTCAACCACATTCCAATCAAACATTCCATGACCTTCTCACTGTCTACTGGAAACGTAGATCTTTGCATTTAACAGTTTCCAAAATGTCACTGACACCTACATTCCAGAATTTACCTAATAGTTTCACATCAATGTATGTTTAGTTCTCACAAATTGTAACTACACATTGCCATTGTCATGTCCCATATTTATATTTATACCTCTACTCATACTCTCCACTTCAAATGGAATGTCCTCTGTCTCCACTATCACCACCACTGAAATCTTAATCTGCTTTTAGACTTCTTTTCAAATTCCAATCATTTCATGAGGCCTTTGCTGATACACCAACCAAGCATGATTTCTTACTTCTCTGAGAAACAGCACTAATAGCACTTTGTGGAAATGTCAAATAGAAGAAAATGAAGAGTAACAGGAGGTCTTAGTTTCCACAACAGTAAGATTTCTAAACTCTTTCTTTCCAATTCTTACTCTTTGTGAACAAAAGGTCTGTTGCATAATAGAGGATAGAAAAAGCATCACTTCAGAATGTCTTTATCAATGGGAATGAAATCTCAAAAAAGGCTTTAGAGCCTTGGAGAGAAAGCCAAGTGAGTTATCAGGTCAAGCTAACTCAGCCTAGCTATTTCCCAACTTTCAATATGAAATGATATAGAAGTGATGGGCAATTTGGGGCTTTCCTTTAGGAAAGCACTGGCACTAGGGTTAAAATGTAGCAGGCAGGCTGTTTCCAGAATAGAGTTATCTTTAACTCATTTCCAATCTTCCCATTTAAAAAAAACAGACTGACTACTAACCTATGCTTTCATGTTCATTGTCCTCTTTGGCAATACTTCCTTAAAGATTTTTAAGAAACCAGAGAACAAAGACTGTAACTGACTTATGTCTATGTTCCAAGTCATCAAAAAGAGATAAGGAAAGATATTTGATACATATTTACTAGATTAAAATCTCCCCTGTCAGGCTACCCCTTAAATATCTCACACTAAGTATCTAGCACTTAATTTACAGTGCACATCTATACTAAATAAAGTGGCATTCCCTTTTATTTATATAATACACGCAAACATTTTAATATTAATTCCTCAAGCTCAAGGTGTGAAATTCATTCTTCCATTATTGTAGTATATGTCTCCAAAAATAGTGCCACAATGTCTAGCACAAAACAGAGATGGATGGGCTCAAGAAAGCTTATTTGAGGTTTCAATATAGTTAAAAAATTGTTTTCTAAATCTATTTTCATATTAACAAGCTAAGCAGAGAAGAAGGATAACACTCAAAAAGCTGTCTATATGTTCCTCTGAGAACTTTGAAATGGCTCTTTCCTACAAAAGTTGGGGTAATACTTAACTCCCCACCACCAGCACACTCAAAGCTCAAGGCAAATGCATTTTCAAGACTGACAGAGTCTTGGATTCTGAAAGTCTTCGGTAAGTATTGCACTGCAAGTCTTCATATTCTACCGAATAAGTACCATATCTTCTGAAAATATTTCAAAAGACGAGCTTTTCCTCATAATTCCACTACAACCCACCCTCCTTCTTTATTGGCTCTCCTAATAATTCTTCCAACCCAGAAGTAATGCACCATGAAGTCCGCTGAACGGTATCAGTAGCTTCCTCCCTTCTTTATCATTGGCACTATCTAACACATGGTTTCTTTCCTGATCCCATCCACCAATAAGCCCAATATAAGTCACCTTTCATCTTTCCAGAAACCACAGGCTGCTTTATTTAACTGCTATTCTAGATTTTATTTTTAACAAAAGAAATTAAAATGCAGAGATAATTGCGTCCAGAAATACTAGCCACTAGTTATGCTGTCTCTGGTTTACCAAAAGGAGACACGTACAGACGCTCATACACACCCCAAACTGAGTTCTGAAAAGCCATACACTGAGGGTGCAATGAGTTCCTTCATGTGTTCTTAGTAAGACTGACGGGTCTACTCAAAGCTCTTTCAATACTTACTCTACAACGCAATTTGTTTAAAACCCAGGGAGATTCAGGGAGTTGGTTGATAGAGGACCACAAGACTTACAACTCCAATATTATTCAGTATTTTAAAGCACACAAAGGACTGATGCTTTTAATTTCTGGATGGGCTGTTACTGGAGCTGAAAAGTATATGTTTTTGGATTTGTTTCCAGGATGTCTGTAATTTCTGTGTCTTGTTGAATATTTGTTTCTCCTTTTTTTCTGTTTAATATATTTCTTGGTTTCTAGAAGTGTTCTCTGATGTCAGGTGTTCATAGCAGAGAGATCCTAATTATTTGGCTTCAATATACAGTCAAGAGATTCCTGTCACCTCTCTTTAAATCCTTCAGTCTTATCTTTTAGTCAATATATTGAGCCTCCTCTGGATGCTATCCTTGTTATAGATTTTAATCATCTTGATTAGATGATTCTTCTGTTACAAAGTTCTGTATGGGTTAGTACAATCACACAGTAATAACAAGTCTTACAAATTTGCATGACATTTCCTCGGTTTTTAAGTTCTTTCACATACATCAGGCATTTGTTACACCGGCACAACCATGTGAGTTAAAGCAGTTGGTAGTTTTCTTCAAATCAGTAGACAACGGATCAGAAAAATAAAGGAACTTGCTTTAGAAGCCATGGATAATAAGTGACATTTAAAATGCAACCTCCAGAGATTGCATATGAGACTTAAGGATAGTAAATTAAAATGAATAAACATCAAAACAATATCATATGTAAAAATAAAGTTGGTTTAAGAATGATATTTACCAATACCTCACGAGTGAGCTTGTATGATTAGCAGTGCTTAAACTGCTAATTAATCCTCAAAACAATCCTATAACACAAACACTTTGACTATGCGTACTGTATAGATAAGGAAACCTGAGACTGGAAGAAGGTGAGAAACACGTCTAAGTCTAACACGTCTAAGTCGCAGTGTAATGGCAAGGAGTAGTACTGCTACAAGAAGAGACAAAAAAAAAAATCATGTGAAATAAAACAGATTTGGGGGAATAAAAAAATAGAAGATATGTTTTGTTTTTAGTTATTGCCAAACTCCAGATCTAAAAGTGCATTAGTTCATCTGGTACTTTATATCTAAGTGACATTCTACACTCATTAGAAGACATGCAGATTTTTATTAGAGTCTTTTCATTACTATAAACTGACCAATTTCTTGACATTTTAACTAATTAACAAGAAAGTTGTTTATAAAAATGGAAGATTCTATGTCCCATTGTCAAAACATCAGCATTTTGAACCAGGGAAGACATGTAACATTGAGATCATGTGTTATAAAGAATATAAAATGTATCCCAGTATTTCAGGAAGCCGCTGGCTTCATCAGTCTGTGTCAGGGAATTAATTTTCAGTCATACATCCCTGCTGATACATCTGAAACCTGAGAAAGTCCAATTTCCTTCCTTCATATGTGTCTAATAGAGTATGAACAGTTCAAGTGTCTGAGGAAAATCAGAGGCTGAGATAGAGACTCACTTCCTCAGTAACAAGGAAGAGAGTGGCTTCGACCTGCTGCTGACAGAGGGGCTTGCATCTTCCTTGCCCCAGGAAAGGTTTTCACACCTGGGTAAGGTGCAAATTGCAGTCAGAAGAGAAGGGCCCAATGGAAACAGGATTTACTACTGGGCACAGGATGGCTATCTGCCTATCCTTTCACCTCTCAAAACCAGAGAAATGGCAAAATCCTGTGGGTTTGTAGGGGAAGACCGTGGAGCTACAGCTCTTTGTTGGTTAATCTCCCTCTCTTTTCCCTCCTGGGAGAGCTCCAGACAGACAAACAGATCCAAAGGTACAAAAACTTCCATTTAGCAACATAAAAGAAACAGGAGAGAGGATGTAATCAATTTTGGGGCCATTCCAAATTCCCTTCCAGCAAGCCACCTAAAATAGTGGGATGGGGAATCTCACCTGAAGCATTGGTAATTCCAGACAATGCAAACTTGAGAGTCAG